TTCGTCTACCTTCAGAGTGTGCAGTAAAGGGGGTCTAGATAGGTATTGCTTGAGTTCTTCCAAAGCTTGTTGGCATTCCGGGGTCTAAGAGGAATTGTTCTTCTTTTTCAATAATGAGAATAACCGATGACTCTTATCCGACTATCTCGAGATGAACCAACCCAATGCGGCTATCCGCCCCGTCAGTCTTTGCACTGCCTTGACATTGTCAACTACGGTGATGTCCTCTATGGATTTTATTTCTTTTGGGTTGATCTCTATTTCCCGACTAGATACCATGAATCTGATAAACGTGTCTGAACCGACCCCAAATGGGCACTTCTTCAAGTTTACTTCATCTTGTACTTTCTCAATACGTCGAAGGTTTCCTGTGAATGTTTCAAGTGGTTCTCTGCTCGCAGCTCACAGGGACTTGACCAACATATCGTCAATATAAACTTCTATTGATTTTTATATTTGTTCTTCGAACATCTGGTGACTAGGCGTTGATATGTGGAACCGAAGTTCTTTAATCCAAATGGCTTTATATTATAGCAGTAGATGCCGAATTTGTTATGAAAGAAGTCTTTTCTTGATCATCCGGGTCCATTCGAATTTGGTTGTAACCGGGGTACGCATCGATAAAATTGAGTATCTTGTGTCTGGCCATCGCGTCGATCATTTGATCGATGTTAGACAAAGGTAAAGAATCCTTTGAACATGCCTTGCTTAGATCCTTATAATCTACACACATCCTCAATTTATTTCATTTTATAGGCACTACCACTACGTTAGCTAACCAATCTGGGTATTTAACTTCCCAGATGGAACCTATTTTCAGAAGTTTGGATACCTCGTCCTTGATGAATATGTGTTTAATCTCGGAATGTGGCCTTCTCTTCTGCTTTACTGGACGTAACTTCAGATCCAAGCTTAACTTGTGAGTGGTTACCTCCGGTGGGATCCCTATCATGTCTAGATGGGACCAGGCAAAACAACTGGCGTTAGCTTTGAGAAAATCAATAAGTTTTTTGTTGGGCTCGAGGGTTAACCCTGTGCCTAGGTATACCTTTCGGTCTAGTAGGTGCTTGATCAATATAAATTGCTCCAACTCATCGATCGTCGATTTGGTGGCATCGGTGTCATCAAGTGGAATGAATAATCTCGGGACACTGTAATCGTCCTCATCATTCACTCATGCTCTTTCTATTTTTTTGGTTCAGCTGAGGCCGGTATCAATGATTGCTATTTAACTTCTTCTTTTTAGTCGGTTCTGTGCTTTTTGGTATTGAAACCGTGGGCACTAGGATCACTTCATCGACAATGAATATTTCCCCTGTGGTCGACTGTTCTCCAAAGACCATTTTGACTTCTCTCGGGGTGGGAAATTTTAGTGCCCCATGTAAGGTCGAAGGCACCGCCCTCATGTGGACCCACGGCCTTCCAAACAAAGCATTTTACCTCATATCCCGTCGATCGCGTAGAACTTTGCTTCTTGCGTAGTCCTGGAAGTATTTACCAGTAAAATTATCTCACCTTTCGTGTTCTCGCATGCCATGTTGAATCCATTCAATACCCGGGCCACCAATACGATTTGATCCTGTAACCTAGTTGTTTTGCGACCCTTGATCTGATGATGCCAGTCGAGCTACCTGGATAAATCAACACGCGCTTATCCCGAGATTTATTGATAAGTACAAATATTACCAGTGCATCATTGTGAGGCTGTGCAATGCCCTCAACGGTTTCATCGCTGAACAAGATAGCTCCTTCCGAGATGTAATCTAGGTTGCATTTTTCTCTCGTGATAGACACTTTAGTGCATTTTATCATCGGCCCTTAGGGGACACCGACTCCCTCAATAATCATGTTGATTACGAAATGAGGCTCATCTTGTTCGACCTGTTTGTTGGCATCCCTATTTCTGGAGTGGTTTTTGGCTCGCTCGCTTAGGAATTCTCGAAAGTGCCCATTATTGAATAGTCGAGCAACTTCTTCTCTTAACTACTGTCAATCTTCGGTACTATGACCGTGAGTGCCGTGGTACTTACACATCAAATTAGGATCTTTCTAGGGAGGGTCAGACTACAACGGCTGGGGCTACTTGGTTTCTTTAATGTGCCTTATGGTTGATATTATGCTTGACCGCTTTTGACGTGATAATTATAATCGACGTGATACTATGCTTTCAGCTCCTACATTGAAATTATACTCTGATAATCTTGGTGCCTCCCTACTACCAAGCGACCTGTCAAACCCGTTCTTGCTCATCAAGCCTCGGCCGCTCGGTCCTCGATCATTCTTCTTCTCATTCCTTTTCAGGTGGCGCTCGAATCTACTTTCCCTCCGATCTATGTTGTACGGATGATATTGATCTCGGACCAGCCTCAGCTCCTGATCAATGGTTATCTTAGATCTGTCATCGTTTCTGATAGGGTAAACAGATCCCGACGGGGCCTCAAGTTGGTCATCTTCGACCCTGATCTTCGACTGATATCTGTTGTGGATGTCAGCCTAGGTGACTGCTGGGTACTCCACCAAGTTTTGCTTTATCTATTGAGAGGCCACAGATCTTCGGGGGTTGAACCCTTGAGTAAGTTTCTAAACGGCCCAACCATCCACAACTGGTGGCAAATCCATTTGTTCCATCTGGAACCTTGACACGAACTCCCTAAGCATGTCATTATCCCTCTATTTGACCTTGAAAATGACTGACTTCCTGGTCTCGACCTTGATGGCTCTGTCATGGTCTTTATGAAATCATCTACAAGCATAGCGAACGTGTCGATGGATTCGGAGACAAGTTGTAATACCATATTATTGCCCTCTTGGACAAGGTTTTCCCAAGATTTTTCAGCAATACCGACTCTATTTCATCTTCTTCCAAGCCATTTCCTTTGATCGCGCATGTTTAGGAGGTTACATGCTCATTTGGATCTGTGGTCCCATTATATTTGGGAATGTCGGCATTCGAAACCTCTTTGGGATCGGCTCCGGTCCCTTCAATATTGGAGGTGCTCCCGGGATCTGACCGACCTTGGAGTTGTACGTTTCCACCTTCTTGTCATTGGCCTCAATTGTTTCTCGCCCGATTCCACCTGTTTCATCAATGCTTTGAGTATCTTCATCACATCGGAAGTTTCCCCGGGCCTGATTTCACCTGGTTCCACCGCAACTTGTTCATCCATTCGAGTATTTTCCAGGGACTATTCAGGCTCGACTCTGTTAGGGGCGTGGCTTCGGTTCTGCAGCAGTGCTATCGCCGCTTGTTGAGCTTTCAACATTTCGAAAATCAATCGCAGGCTCACCCCATCACCTTTACCTCCGGGCGTTTCTCGAGCTGCTAGTTGGGGTCCCACACGAATTCTGTTTTCGGGATCAATTGGTAAATTTATGTTGATGGCCACCTGTAAGTTAGCATCGACCGGTTCGGCGGATGGGACACTATTGGGATCGACATGAGGCACATCATTGCTAGGCATCACGTTATTATTCTCAACATGATAGCCTGACTCAACGTCAACGTTCAAGTGAACAGACTGAGAGCTTGACATCCTTAGGCTACCCTAGAATCAAAATTTCAAAGAACACACATAAAATAGGGTGTGCTATGGAGATTCGTATCAAATAACCACTATTATCCTTAGCCCCACGGTGGGCGCCATATTGTTTACCCCCAAAAATGAGTAACAATAAATTTGTACACGGTTTAAAGGATATGTTGTTTAATTCAATCCCAATGATTAAGAACAATAAGTAAATAAGTTAAAGATAAAATAAATAACCAAACCAATCACAATGTGATGACCAAATCTGATCTTAGGTTGAACAGTGAAATTCGTCCTCGATCGAACCTTCGGCACATCAAATGAAGACACTTTGAACAATATCTAGAAGACAAGAATAAATTTTTATTACTTTGATTTGTGTGTGACAATGTGTCAAAATAAAGAAAACCTTCCCTAGTAGAGGAATACTTGTCCTAATACAAGTCTAAATAAGGTAAAAATCTTCTTTTTCTGGTAAATATCGATCTGCAGTTGATATAGGTTGGAATTCGCGCCGTAATATCCGGTTGAGGGCGAATATTACGACCCCTACTTCGTCATCATAACCGTTTTTTGCGTTTTTCGAGGTCCAGAAACCATACTAGGTCTGAGTCCGTTATTTCACTGTGCCCGATCCCAAGTACATCGTTCATTCCTCCAAGGGTTTCGATACGAGGAGTCCTTGGGCCTCGATTATAATTATCACGTCGAGTCGTGCTTCCCCTTTGTTTCCTCATTAGGGAAACGGGAAAAACTCTATCCCAATGATTTTACCCGTACACAAATACTATGCCACTTGGTCTCTTTTTCTTGGGCCTCAATTATAATTATCACGTTGAGCCGTGCTTCCCCTTTGTTTCCTTATCGGGAAATCGGGAAAAATTTTGCCCTCGATTTTACACGTACATAACGTTAAATGTAAATTTTAGATCCACGTTGTTACAATACTCTTGAAATTCTGGACTCACCTCTATAACTATGACACCTCAATATTTTTTCTTGACTATCTGTATGAGGTTGAAAGTCAGAATTTATGCAGAGTACAATGAAATTGACGGAATTTCTCAAGCTTAATTAGAGATTTTGAGAATAAGTGAAGCAGAAATTGTTGGTGAAAACGTTTTTTTTCTTTTGCTAATATAAGCTCGTGCAATGCAAAACAAAATTAATCAGGTCACTGAATTTACATGTTTGTTTTCACCATTACCGTTTTTACGCGGAAAAAACAAGATTTATTCTCAATTGAATTTTACAAGTTAGATGATAAAAAAGTGCTCTTGTATAGCTACGGGTTCATGCACTTGCCTCAAGGCTTTTACCATAAGATAAGGTCGGCCGCGTGATTATGCCGAACCGTTGTCGAACCCACGATAAACTTGATTGGGTCCCATCGAAAAGGACGACCGTACTTATCTCTAGTGTTTTTTTTACTGGTCTCTGCCTATATAAATAACCGTCATTGCACATAATTCAAGAAATTAGAAAAGAAAATTCAGAAAATATAATTTTCTCCCCAATTTTTTAAAGACTTCACAGTTCTCTCTCCACCATTTAACCATTTGCTTACTTGGTTTTTGCTGCCAAGAAGAATAATGGGTGTTCAGGAAATGGACCCTCTTTCACAACTAAGTTTGCCGCCCGGGTTCCGGTTTTACCCGACTGACGAGGAGCTTTTAGTTCAATACTTGTGTCGCAAAGTTGCTGGCCATGATTTCTCTTTACAAATTATTGCAGAGATTGATTTGTACAAATTCGATCCTTGGGTTCTTCCAAGTAAGTTTTTTTATCTTCTACTCCCTGTTTTCTTCTTTTTCAATTAGTTTTATATTTTTCTAAATTTATTTATTAATGATTTTCTTTTTTTGATTTCTAAAGGTAAAGCGATATTTGGAGAAAAGGAATGGTACTTTTTCAGTCCAAGAGATAGGAAGTACCCGAATGGATCACGACCAAACAGAGTAGCTGGCTCTGGGTATTGGAAAGCAACAGGAACTGATAAAATAATCACTACAGAAGGGAGAAAAGTTGGAATTAAGAAAGCTTTAGTTTTTTACGTGGGAAAAGCACCTAAAGGAACTAAGACTAATTGGATCATGCATGAATACAGACTCAGTGAATCTCCCAGAAAAAATGGAAGTTCTAGGGTACGTATATCCACATGGACCCTTTTTCCAATTAATTACAATTGTTATATTTCTGAATGGTGACATTAATATGTTTTTTTAATATATGTCTTTCAGCTAGATGAGTGGGTGCTTTGTCGGATTTATAAGAAGAATTCGGGTGGGCAAAAACCGAACATTTCTGGTTTAAACAGCAAAGAGATGAGCCACGGTTCTCCATCGTCATGCTCTTCTCAATTTGACGACATGCTCGAATCCCTACCAGAAATTGAGGACCGTTATTTCTCCTTACCGAGAATGAACTCTCTTAGGAATTTACAACAAGATGATAAGCTTAATCTTCAGCACCTGGGTTCTGGAAACTTCGACTGGGCCACTCTAGCTGGGTTTAATTCGTTCCCGGAATTAGTTACCGGAAATCAAGCTCCGGCACCGGGAAATCAATCTCAGGTGCATTTGAACAATCAAAACAGTAGCAACAATTTGAATGAATTTTTTGCTCACCCCACGCAATTGAATTTTCATGGAGATGTCAAGTTTGAAGGTGGAGTGGACGAAGAAATAGAGAGCGGAATTAGAGCTCAACGAATTAACAACTCGGGTTTCTATCAAGAGAATTCAACCGGGTTTCATACCTATACGAACTCGGTGCCCGACCCATTTTGGATTCGGTACCCGACCCAAACAGTAAATATGGGTTCAGTCGGTAAATAGTGAACGGTTGAATTTATAGTACGGAAAGTTTGGGAAAGGGTAAAATGTGAATGCTCGTTGAAATGTTCGGACAAATTGGAAATCTTGCGCTGATTAATGAGGTAGAAAGGGGTAGAGAGCAAATATTCTTTGGTTGGGGACAAAAAAGTAAAATTAACAAGATTTTGTTCATGTAACTGAGCACAAATACAATGTATTCTGTTGTACACACACTGTTTCCCCTTGTACTAAAATTTATGTAGGGGACGTAGTTTCTTTAAGGCTTTGGTATTCTACTTAGGATGACAAACAGCAGGATTATCTTATTTTCCTTTTTATGTAAATTTTTATCGGCAACGTGTAGTCATTTTCTAGATATAATAGTAATTGGGATGTACAGAAGTTACGACTTCTATTGTTTAGTTGAATATATTTAAGAAATCACATGAAAAAAGACGTGGATATAGTAGAATTAGTTAAATTTCTCAACATTATGATTTTGAAATCAGCTGCTCCGGATTAATTAACACATTACCAATTAGATGCACTGTTGTGGGCTTTATTCTGTTCTTCTGGCTCTTATTTAGCAGCAAGTGTATCTAAAGAATTTGGAATTGTTAGAGGGTTTTCTTAAGGGGAAAAGAGCCACCACCGAGGCGAAGAAACAATCACTTTCTTTACATGAATATGTAATCTAGCTAGGATTAAGCTTAAAAATTACTCCATATACTGCCATGATAAGTGAAGTAGAAATGTTTAAAACCAAAACTGAAAACTACCATAAGAATCATATTGTGATTTTGTTGTATTTCTTGTAAGTTGTTTATAAGAACATTCTTTAAGTTTATCCTCTGCACACCAGAGATGATCCAGAATTTTAAATTTATGAATTTTTAAAAAATTTCAAGTTAATATATAATAATAACTAGTTTATGGACTGAGTTTCAAGCTAAATATTTTTTTATATTTATAAATTTTTCAATACAAATACAGGATCTAGACAAAAATTACTAAGTTCACGGAAACTTGTAATTATTTGATGGATCCGCCCCTGCTACACACCTAAGTTAAGTTGAAGAATAAAAATGAATTAGAGGAAACGCCTGCCAGTGACTAAAAGCCCACTTTCACGATTTCATCAATTATTAGATGCTTACAGTTTATAATATGAACATGTAGAACCTAGTAGTTAATTAAGAAAATAAAAGATTGATCTAATAATTAAATTTATGATAGAATTTCTCAAACACGTGGTGAAAAGAAAAAGACATGCAGGGACATTGAAATGACTATTTGGATATGCATGTATTCAAGTAGTGGTAGTTCTTTGTAAGAGAAAAAATTATCGCTACCTATTAATTTACATCAAACTATATTTTATTGTTGATTATGATCAGTGACTATTATAATCATCGATCTTGTTTGACTCAAAAGATATTGAAACCTCTTTGAATAAATGAATCAAAGAAGTTGAAGGGTTAAATCTTAGCTAAGTATAATAATCTTTAGAATTAAAGATAGATAAAACGAATAATGATAAGAATTCCTTATCTCGTTTAGACCAAAAAAGACTTTTTGTCATAATCCTCTCAATCCTCTATGTAAGCAAGTTTATAGTAAGTATTCTAGATTAGCTGAAAAGAAGGTCCTTTTACAAAGTTATTTCATGCCCTATATAAGGAACTCAACCTTGCTGAGCTCTAAAAAACTGGTTATAGGGAGTATTCGAGAGAATATTTCCGATGTCCCCTAATGGGCCTGCACTACTACAAGGGTCGTACCGTCTCTTGTTCGCCTTAAGGTTGCCTTCTGCAAGATGTCAAGTTGTGTGGATCTCGTCGTTCGTCGTGCTCATCAATGGTCGTGTTTGTCCAAATTTGGACCCATATAGTTAGTCCCTCCGCTTGTCGGGGTTGCAACTTGGTGCGTCCTCGATGAGCGGACACCATGCGTTCTTACGGAGAAATTTGACCCTACGGAGCGTTACGGCCTGGTCAATGGTAGGCGGTCAACGTGCTTAGCAAGACACCAAGTAATACATTTTACCGGGAAATAGCTTGTCGCTTCGATTTTGGTGCAACTCTGTGACCTTCCGCTTCGATTCTAGCGCCACCCAATCCTATAAATAGGTGGAGGGTTTGTTTTTTCAAAAATTCTTGACCATTTCATTTCTGATTATCCCTCCTTGTCTCTCCGAATTTGTCTTAACACTCTTTTGTATCTTCCTCTCACACTCTTCGTTCTCAACCTCTTCTTCTTCCTCTCTTCTCTTTTTGTGTAACTACCCTTTTTAACGAAAGCATGCCAAGATCACATCGATCTCGTGAAGGGGTTTCTGAGGCCGCCCTGTTGTCCATAGCGCCCCTTTCAGGTGGTGAGGGTATGGCAGTAGAAGAAGGTGACAGTCTTCCCACGGTGGAGGAGTTACTGTCTAGACACCTCATGTCTCGAAGTGACTTCCTCATAGATCCCCCTTCTACTCCTACCCCTGTATTCTCTGAGACAGAGCAAATTCACATCAATGCTCTTCGTGCAAATTACGGCATTCCCGCTCATGTTGACATGGTTCCAGCGGGGAGGGATTTCGTAGAGGTCCACAGAACTGGGTATTGCGCTTTCTACGAGTAACCTTTCATGATCGGTTACTCCTTTCCCCTCCTCTTATTAGCGGAAGAGTTTTGTAGGTTCTACCAATTTTGTCCGGCACAACTTTCGCCATATACGCTCAAGGTACTTTTGTTGTTGACCAAGTACGCGGAGTTGACGGAATGCGATGTTTCTATCCACCACCTTTTGCACCTGTTCTCGCCCAGCTTCCACAGGGGTACTATGGTGCATCTGAGGCACCGTGGCACAAAAGGGTTGGTGGTTGGGACTGACGAACGAGCAAGTCGCAAGGTTTGGCATAAGTATTTCTTTGTCAAAACTGAACACATCATTTCTGACTCCGTCAGATTCCCGGAGCGGTGGAACGAAACTTGTAAGTGTTGCTATTCATTTTACTCTTTCTTTTTCTATATTCATTATAAGGTTTGTTCGCTTCTCGTTTATAGCTATAGGACGTACTCCCCTCCTATTACTGGCATAAGGGATTGGGTAGCTCGTCTGTTACCCCATGTAGAAGAAACCCGAGATTAGCCCGCCTTCATAAAGCATTGTGGCCCTAGAGTTCCATCTGGTAAATGTTTTTCCTTTACCACTTTATTGGTTATATATCGTTGTTTACTGATACGACTCTTCGTGATGATAGGTCGAGGAGCTTCCAGGCAGAGGGCGCCAGTCCCTGCATTCCAATAGGTCGTTGTTGCTGCGAGGATGCAATTTACTTTGAATGAGTCTGTTCGGGAGAGTCATCCTCAACCGATTCAAGTAGAAGGTCCATCTCGGGTCATGGTTGTGAGGGAAGAGCGTTCTTCAATACCGACCCACACCTTTTGGATGAATCCTCTAACGGGGACGAGTCGTTGTCGAGAAAGAGAAGGAGAATAGAGCTTGGGAAGGATGTGGCTGTAGACGCTGATAGAAGCAGGGCATCACAGACGTCACCTGTACCCACGTTTATGGCCGAGGCCATTTTAGCGGGGAGATTTCCACAAACGGAAGGAGTTTATCTAGGGGCCGGCTCCGTGCACTCCGTTGAGGGCGGTGCATTGTCCAACGTTGGAGGTCGTCGTGTCGAGGGCGAAGGCTTAGATGTTGACCCGGAGGACGTTCGCGAGTTCGTAGGTCGCCATACTCACGTAGAGGTCAAAGCGGAAGGATCTGATTATCATATAGTCATCCCGAGAGATTACAACTTGTTGTTGAACTGCGATCAAGTGGCGTCTGCTTTGGCCCCTCTATGCGCTGCCCTGGAAAATAAGGTACTTAGGACGATGAGTGACATGGAGTTGTCCTAGAGCGTCGCCGGTATGTCCTTACGGGTAGGTGCCTTTCTTTTCCTTTTTGTCGTTGGGCTTGTGTTGTGAATGTTGACCTGTATTTTTGTTTTTAACTTCTCTTATTTTATGTGCCAGACCCTTATCATGGAGACTGAGCGTGAGCATCAGGAAAGGAAGAGGACAACCGTCTAGGGGAAGATGTCTTCCAAGTATAAACAGTACCGCGCTAAGCATCGTGCAATGGCTGATATTTATAATCAAGACCCTGACTTTCAGTTGTTCCGCGAAGGACTCAAATAGAGGGCGGACCAACTGGCGCGCAAGGTCGAAGAGCCGAGGGAGTGAGATGAGGAGATCATGAAGGCTATCGCCCGCAATAGTGAACTTGAGACCTCCCTTAAGGTAAAAGAGGATGAGCTAGAGTTAAGCAGGGGAGGTGATGGTCGAGAATGCCGACTTACAAGCGAAGTTGGCCAGTTTAACCGCTGAATTGAATGCGAAGGATGTGGAGATTGAGGGTCTTAAGGGCGAATTGAACGTCGGTGCTGATAAGCTGGCGGCAGCTATTTCTGGCACGATGGCTTTAGAGAATACCCTTCGTGTTTGTAGGTCGGAGCTGACTGAGGAGAAAGAGGCCTCTAAGCTTAAGGTCATAGGGCTTGAAGGGTGTATTAAGGAGTTGGAGGCGGAGCTATTTGTGTTGAATGGTCAAGTGGCCTCGTTGAGAGCAGAGGATACAAATCGATGCTCTCAACCTTCTACGTCTCGTGCCTCGACCGATCCGGTCTTGCCTCGTCGCTTATATGAGTTGTGGGTCCTTGCTGAGGCCCGGCTTAACGTGTACAAGGCTTTTCATACCGAGGGGAGGGCAACTGAAGTAGAGCTTTGGGTCATGCATACCAAGCTCGTGCAGCTCGGGAGGCGCGCGGGTACGACCCTCTTACTCCTAACGGGGATGACATCAACTCCGATGATGCAAATAGTCTTGCTTCTGACTCTTGGTACGAAGACGCGTACCCTATTGGAGATGACATGTGACCTTTTGTTTGTACTTACTTTTTGTTTGGGAATTTTGTAAGGGGCGTGCTTGAGCCCATTGTAAAGACTGGTGTAACATTTTTATGTAATGTAAAATTTGTTCTGTCGGTTTGGTGATGATCTTTGCAATATCTATGGCATCCGAGGTATTTATCGAACTGTTAAGCTGATTTAGCCTTAGGGTGAGGTCGATTCCTTTTTCTTTTAGCGATGGCTTTAGCCTCTGAGATGCTATTTTCGATCGATCGTCGAAGTGGGATCCCGTCGTAGTTCGAATGAGATTGAACTCATATTTTTGTCGATGGCCTTGGCCATTGGGATGTTGCTTCGAACTGTCATTGAAGTAGGATCTTGTCGTAGTTCGAACGAGGTCGAACTGATATATTCGTCGATGGCCTTGGCCATTGGGATGTTGCTTGAAACTGTCATCGAAGTAGGATCCCGTCATAGTTCGAATGAGGTCAAACTCGTATTTTCGTCGATGGCCTTGGCCATTGGGAAGTTGCTTCGAAATGTCGTCGAAGTTGGATCCCCTCG